TTCTCTTTCTCTTCATCTTTGAGGTCTCATTTCATGTCAGCACACCTCATCAACCTGTATCATATATTCAGCTAAGGTTCAGGTCTGAAGAGGTGAATGCACAAGTTTTGACCGCATATGATTTAGAACCGGCAGTTGTTTTATCTAAAAGTCATGGTGTGCTCCAGGCCCTTGTGCCGCCTCTGTGGTCTGTGGAGAAAAGTAATTACTACAGGGCCTAAAGCCACCAGCTCTGGCCTTTGGACTCTCCGCTGCCACATCCTGTAAGCAGTGGCTTCGCTTTTAAAAGATCTCTCTTATTTTTGTATGGCTCTTTTTCTCATGACCAGTATGCTTTCTCGTCCGATTAAAACCACCACCCTCTCGACGTCTTTTCAAACTTTTATTCAACACTCGATTATTTAGCAGGTGTCTTTTCAAATTCAGATCTTTATTCACCACTTTCCTTGCCCGTCACTCATCTTCGTCTCTACTTTTCAACGTTCTCCTCTTTCCCTCTTCATCTCCACCCTCATTCTCTTGAGTGTTGCCAGAGCGCCGACTGCTCCTTTGAGGAAAACCTTCACTCTTCCCAGTAATCACCACTTAAAGGGAATTCCTCTTCCAGCAACAGGCCTGCAGCTCTGCATCTTTGAAGATTTGATGGTTTGATGGCTATAATTTGCTTAAAATAACACCAATAAAGTCATGAAGCTGTAAATGCCTAAATACCTAATGTACTAAGATGAAACACGATACAGCCTTTGATTTTGTAGCTTTTAAGAACGTCTTGGGTTACTTTGTGTTTTGAGGTGTTGTTCCAAAAATATCTTTAATATACATAAATGATTTATTTAAAGAGGTTGCTGTTATGACTCTTAATCATACAGACTGTTAATTATCTATAAATGCAATGTAAACAGGCACTTTTGTGGCATTAAGCTTAGCTATAATCTTCTAATATTCTGCAATATTACACATTCTTGCCCAATGCAAGAGGCTTTACAAACATTACTTCACAAGCAACATAAAAGTGGGTTGAATGAGTAAGCAGCTAAATAATAAGCAGCATTAAGCCTGCACTATTATAACACGTCAGCAATACTTCATGCTCCAGTGCATTGTTCATTCTCCAGGCTCAGCCAATAGGAGGAAGTGGCATCTTTCAAAAACCAGGGGAAAGCCCTGAGCATGAGTAGCAGACTAAACTCTCCACCTGAACGGCCTCTGGAGTCAACCCTCTCCTTCCTCATCCTCCCACCTGCCCTCAGCAATACCTGTCGCGCTCCTTCACCGAAGACATTGAACACCTCAGCTTAGTGGACCATGAGGAGAATTAGTTAGAGCTTCCTCCCAGTGTGACCTTAAAGGAGAAGCAGGTAAGATTGCACGGGAGGCCCCAGCTGGGGGAGAGCATTTTATACTGAAGTAAATTCATATTATTAAGTTTATTTACTGACACCCCATGGTAAATTTACTTTGGTATGTGAACTGCACCAGGTTGTGACTAATCAGTGATTCCCAGGGAGGAAAGCCCTCTCCGACAGGCCTTGTTCTGTGTCATGTTGACACAACACAGTGGCCTGTCACTAATCCCCATCATACCTGACCCCCTCCATTGCTGGGTCAGACTTCAGGGTCATCACATGACCGCAAATGAGCTAACAATCACAAGGGCCTCTGATTTCTAGCTTTACAATTGACTGGAAGATTGCGATTGCAGCTGAAATGTGGATTGTTTACTGAAAGGTTAAGTCGCATCATATGACAAGATCCCATCTGTGTTGGATGACGGATAATACAAAAGGCAGGTGTATGTAGTTGTTTATAACAAATCCCTGTGCTGCTTGTGCACAGATTAAATGGACCTTGTACGCCTTTCAAAACAGTTCACAGTAAGAGCAACCTGTTTGTAGACGGAACAGCATCACAACCGCAACCTCCTGTCTTTTTAATGACCGAATAAACAAACCAGCAGACATGATAGTGCTGCGCTTTTGTTAAGGGAAAGGGCAGAGAGCTAGTTAAGGAAGGAGTCTGGCCCCACATGAAAAGAAACAGGGAGGAGAAGGGAGAAGGAGAGACGCCTGGGTGTTCCTCCAGCATTGTTCAGCCTTCTGCCTCTGAGGGACACCTGTCATTGGCTGGGCGGTTTACACAGGTGCCTTAACCCCGCCTGATTTGTTGGCCTTGAAAGGAGGCTTCAGTCAACAGGTAGCGTGAAGGGAACAATAGTGACGATCCTGAAGAAGAGTGAGACAGAGAGAGAGAGTGGGAGGAGGGTGGGATGGCGAAAAAGAGAAATGGATTCTTTGGAAAGCACCTGAGGGTTTGTGTGAGATAATCTGTTTGCCTTTTACGCACAGTCCCACTTTGTAGGGTGGAGGCGGGTGTATCGGTGTGTTTGTGGCGCACAACGTGTTGCTCAACGATCCCTCTCTCAAGAAACTCCTCCTCCGAGTGGCCCGTGCGAATTCAAATCATCCATCTTCAGTCCTCTCTGTTTCACCCTCTTCATAACCTCGGTTTCCATGGTTATGCCGCTGTACCCGAGGCTCAGTTAACCAGAGGGCTGTGCAAACTCGTGGTCTCTCATGGCACTGGCGCCTTGCCAAGAACCAGCCCTAATAAAGTGATACTGTTACACCAACACCACACACACCCTGGCTTCAAGAGCCAAGCAAGCAGGGCTTGTTCCTACCACGTTGTTTGTGTTGACGTTTTGCATGCGTGTGTGTGTGTGTGTGGTCTCGCTGCCAGGGGAAATGCCAAGTTCCCTCTCACCCTGTGTGGAATGTGGCAGGCAGAGCAGACCAATGTGTGTGTGTGAGCTGGGGAAACTACTGTGGAGGGGCAGAAACTAGTTAAGCCGACACAATTGAAAGAAAGAATCAGAAATTTCAACAGTGACTCCATAAGTGCAATTTCTAAATCACACAAGGGATTCTGTGTTAGAAAAATCCTTCAGAAAAGTGGGTTAAAGTGGGTCATGCACACATTAAGTTGTACAAAGATAAAATCGTTCATCAATAAAAATCCTAACACATATATATTCATATATCACAACTTAGTTTAGTTCTACTTTCTGTGATTTTTAATGTAGCTTGGCGACAAGCAAATGACCTAGGCTTAAATTAATGAATACAGGTAATAAATCTGAGTCTCTGTAATGTAAAGACATCTGCAGTGGATAATCTGGTTTGAGGCATGCAAATAATCTCTAAATAAACTTAAAATAGGATTGTATCTGCACCTGTTCTCCATGTTAACAACCCAGGCACAGGTGGGAACCTGTTATTATGAGCAATGGTGGTTTAATAACCATCTTTATTTAGAGTGAGGCTGACCTTTCAAAGCCTGAGAATGTCGTGTTTCCCTTCCTCCTTTTAACTGTGGCTATGGTGATAAGGGGACAATGTGTGTGTTTTATGTGTATCCACGTGCCTACATGCTTGCAGGCTAATGTGCGTGTTGGGGAACAGTGTTTATTTCCTCTTCCCAACCAAACACTAACCAAATACAGGTAATTGAATCACAGTGTGTCCACTTTGCGAGTGTGTGTGTGAGCGTGTGTGTGTTGACTTCCCTGTAAATGTGTTTGCAGAGCACTTAAAAGGGAGCTTGAGCTTGTTTTGGATGTTGTTTTCAGTCGTTGAACAATACATTTTCAACCTGGATACATCTAGAAACAGAGAAATTTGATACGTGTTTGTTTTTGAATGTCTGTGTCTTACTTTGACTCTCCTTCAGTACACCACGCTTTATTCACCAAACCTTTTTCCCTATCTTCCCCTCATCAGGGTAGGTTTCTTTTAATTTAGCAAATACCGCAAAATTCAAAAGTAGGAGAAGCTTAAACGTTAAGTAAAGTCTTTGTATCTCCTCTGCAGCAGCCAGAAAGACATTATATGACAGTGGTCTGCGGATCAGCTCTCTCCTTTATCTGCGCTTTCCTTCTCACAGGCTGGAATGTTAATGGTGGCTTTTGTGATGGGTTCAGTTATCCCGTGTGACTGACAGGCTGACTGGCAGCTCTCAAAGACTCTTAATGGGAAAGTAGAGTTAGCAGAGTTTAGTTTAGTGTTTTAAAAGAATGAGAGCTTTTATTTGATTTGAAGCAGCCTCCAAGGTTAAATGAAAGTTCACCCGGGGTTGTTCCATTAAATGGTTTATGTAATGTTTCTATTCACAGTCTTGATACCAGCTGGTTGTTTTGTGCAAGTAAACATGGTTACTGGCAAGCAAATAACACGCTAATAGAAACTGAGCCTGAAGGGTGGCAAATAAAAGCTTTAAGAAATCAAGGTCTACCGTGTTGTCTGGCTGTATGAACAGTTCATCACGCAGCCAGAACCACGTGGCTCTCTGAATTGTTCTTTGGTATATAGATAATTAGGCTGACCATCATACAGCCTGGCAGCATTTTTAGCTCCCATAATTCTGCTTCAGATCTGTGGAAAAAAATTCCACTAAGTAGGTATGTATGCGCTGTGTCCTTGTATAAAAAGTGTAATAATGTCAGCCTTTAAAATCATCCCTGGCAGGTATTTTTTAATATCAAAACAGAAAGTTCTACAGCCATGACTGGAGGGCTGACGCTAACAGCCAAATAAGATAAAGCTTTACCCTCTTTGTGCTGTTGCGGTATTCTGGGCCTGGAGGCGTCTTTTAGATGTAAGCAGTGATCTGTTGGGGCTTGCTGATATGCAGCACTACCAAATATCCATAGAAACACTCCATTATTGAGGGAAAAAGACCATAGCACACTGATAGCCCGCTACCAACTCTCTCTGCATGTGATAGTAGCATAAAATAAGGTTGATTAAGTGGTGGTTTAGCTCGGGCAATGCAAGACAGAGCTAGCTACTCATTACTTCCAGTGCAGTGAAATTAAATCTAAGGATACTTGTACTGGACATATAATGCAGACTATGCTACAGGGCTGACATCTTCTGTGTTTTGTGCATGCAGCAATGGTTAAAGTGAGGTAACAGCTGCTTTGGCATTTTGCTGTCTCATAGGTTACCTGTCCAAAGTGTTGAGGAACTACACCGAGCAGGCCTGTGACGGAGACTTCTTGTCTGTACGCTGCCCGCCACGCACCACCATCACTGTCCAATCGGCTTTCTACGGAAGGAAAGGCGCCTCGGACCCTCAGCAGTGCCCTCAGAGCTACCAGGCCCTCCTCAGTTCTTATAACCGTCGGGAGGATGATCGATATTGTTCTGTGTCCACTGCACTACAGGTAAATAACTAAGGTCACACATTCCTGGCTGTATCAGGAAATTATCTTTTTCTCTAGTCCACTCTTCACAAGCATACAGATTTTTGGGCTGCAGATCTTCCAGACAGAAAGTGTCCTCTAAAATTGTCAAATTGACCAAGGGTTATATTTTGGAGGATCACTGGTTATGTAATGCTTTGTGAGGATGTTTTCCGGCAAATTACACTCTCTAAAGAGGAAGCAGGCTTGTATGTTCCCATGACACAAAGCGATTTCATGGGGTCTTTGCCGTAGCATCCTCTCCTAAATTGGGATGCGGCTGGCCTAGAACCCCCACTTTGCAGCACCAATACAAACACACACAAACACATCCTGTTCAGAATTCATTCGGTTGTTTGGTTTATTCTTAGTCCCCCTGCCTTCTAGCGTAGAACACCCTCTATTTCCATAATAGACAGGACAGCCATGAATGCACAGACACAGAGAGTGCATTGTGCTGAAGTGAGAGAATGACTGACTGCTGCGCCACCCACATTAGTACAACCCTGAAGAATCCCTTTGTACCACCTGTTCACGACCCTTGGTTTGTTGGTATTACAGTATGAATGTCTCCATATAAAAAGGCTTAGTTTAGTTTAGGTATCTCAACATGGGTTACATACAAACATGATCCTTTACATTATCTGATTAATCTAATTAATTAATTGTTTAATCACTAAAATCTCTAAAAAATAAAGTCAAAGATGACATATTCAGAATGTTTTCTTTTGTGCCACCAACAGTTCAAATACCGAAAGTGAAACTTAAATGATTAATCAATTAGAAGAATTATTGCAGATTGATTTTCTGTCTTTATTGGCTAATTATTTCAATAATCCAGACTATTCCTCACATTAAAAATATGGTATCAGCATTCTGCATTGCAGTACTTTTAATTGATTCTCAGTGTCAGTATTTACAGATATATATTGTATGTTGGACTGCAGCAGACTTGTTTATTGTAATAAAAGGATATCGCACTTCATTTTACATACATTAATCATTAATATCGCTCTGAGTGAGCACCTGCATATGTATTTGGTATGTATGTATTAGGTGGAAGCACACAGATATCCCTTATTTTGCCCTGCATTCCATGATCTATTGTAACAAATGCCTCTCCTTTTATGTTAAATTCAGGGAAGGCTCTGAACAGAATCCATTCAGTCATTTCTCCAGTGAGTGGGATCTCAGTATGGGAGACTGTATTGTGTTGGAATGTGCTCACCTGGGTTACAGCCGGCTAAAGATGATGAAACTAGAGAAGCAAAAGGATGCCAGGAAATGAGTGGAGTGGAGCTTTCCAGAGATTTCTTTCTCCCATTCTCTTTATTCTCCTACCTGCTCCTCTCCTCCATATTCCCATGGCCATAAGCAGCTTGTTTGAAGTGGTTTTAGGTTTGCCTGCTGCTGGTCTCACCATCGTTGGCTTATTGTCCTCCCTCTAAACCTCTCTTTGGTCTTCTCCCGCTCTCTGTCACTCTTTCCTTCTTTAGAAAATGCTGGACGAGTGCCAAGACAGAAGGAGCTGTCAAGTCCTTGTCAACAGCCGCGTGTTTGGGACAGACCAGTGTCCTGGCAGCAGTAAATACCTCATTGTCTGGTACAAATGCAGACCTAGTAAGTCCCTCATCGCCTCAAATCCTGACAGTGACACACAATTCTGTGTCTCTCTGTGCTGGGACTGTTTTTTTCTCTTTTCTCACACACCTCCACATTTAGTCCGATATACACCAGGGGTGGGGTCACTTTATTTGCACTTGAAACAAAGTGAATTACGACATTAATGATCAAAGGAAATCCTTGTCCACATTCTGGTTTAACTGTATACAGCTGAAGTTTTAGAAAGCATTCTTGAACTGATCAACCTGAGATCTGCCCTGTGACAATTTATAAAGTATGAGATTATTATTAAAGCTAGGTAAGTAGGTGGTGACATATCTGCAGTATAAAGTAAGACATTGAAATGGGACAGAGCAGCTACGATAAAACAGATCAGGTTTTATTAGTCTGTTGACTTTAAATGCATTTTATATTTATTTTATATCAAAATATATATTTGTTCTCTGCATGTTTTTCCTTATTTGAATGTATTACACTCAGCTATATTAAGGTTAATGAAGGTTACATTTGGCATCATTTTTCTTAGTGTCAGCAAATCCCATGAAAAGACCCAAACCAACAGTGTTAGTACATCTGTCAGTACTTTTCAACTTTCAAAAAGGCTTAAGTAAGAGTAATTTCTTGAAACAGCCAGGCACTGTAATTGTTACAGCCATGTTACTCAAACTGGAATAAATTGTGTATTTTTTGGGACTGTTTTCAGCTGTAGAATAATCCACATTTGGTGCGCTGCTGACTATTTACAGTGCCCATGTTTGTCACAGACAGACAGACAGACAGACTTTATTAATCCCCAAAGGGAAATTGGGTCGTCATAGCAGCCAGGTACATTAAAATACAATAAAATACAACAATAGAATGAAATGATGCAAAGAGTTGTAGTTGCAAGATGGTGGTAATATAAAGAAGTAATAAGTGAAGGAATATATCACCTAGTGCACAGATGTGGCTCATTGATGTGTATTTATGGGACAACAATGGAGCAATAAGCTGTATCAGGCTTTGGCTGCTCAGGCAATACTTGTTACTAGGATCAATTAATTGCTTTTAGTATTTTTACTAGATTTGTTCAGAGTAAGAAAAATATTAAGTTTACGAGCCACACTTTTTTAGTGTACTTCTCATCTGATTATAATGTATCCAATCATCTAACTTCACTGTAAATTCTACACTGGATTAAGTATAACAGTATCTGTGTGAGTCTTCCCTGTTTCATAAAAAAAAAAGAAACTTTGCGTGCCTCTCTCCCTTTATCCCTCTCCTTCCCTCTCTCTGTGAGCCAGGAAGCTAAGAGTATCACTCCAGAGGGGAGCCACAACAGCGCAGTAATCCCACCCAGATTCTAGTCTCCATTCATGGCTCAGTGCTGTGCTGAGCCGAGCTGCACTGAGCTGTGCAGCAGTTCACACTAGAGTGACCAGAACTGGGCATTAATCCACTGATCCCCCTGCCCTCCCTACTTTTTCTTTCTCCACCGGACCCTGGGGCCAATCAACAGCTCTTTGTTCACTGTCACTTAACCAATGACTTCTCATGGGGAGAGAGAAAGGCTGCATGGGGTGTTAGTGAGGTGCAACGGGCAGGTGTCACTGCCTCTGAAAGGAGAGGTGGATGGAGGAAAGCGGAAGTAAAGGAGAAAGGAAAGGAACAAGAGGGAATCCATCACCAGGAGATATAACAAATCAGTCCTGCCCCTTTTCCTCTGCTCTCTTCCTCTCTCTTCTTTTCTGCATTCCTGTTCCACTCCCCACATGGACGTAGAAACGGCTGCTGTTCTGTTTTTATTTACTGGCCAGTGGAGCTGCTCTAGCTGTCACAGGTCACTGTGGCTGGATGTGTGTGAGGAATGCCTCTGCATGGCTCTACATGTCCACTGAGCAACTCTACCTCTGCTTCTGCATGTTTACACCGAAAGAAAGCCTTTTGTCAGGCCTCTGTTTTCTGAGCTTATTAAGAGCTGCTCTACAGAGGTCTGATCAAATAAGGAAAAGTAAAGAAAAAATTATCATTTGCAAATCTGAAAATTCAATCTTTGAAGTAAAGAGAACCAATAGATAACTTAAAGACGACAAAGTAAGACATGAAATTAATTGAATGATTAGCTGCCAGCTTTAAGATTTAGTTTATTATACTCTTTTAGGGATCAAATTTCCTAAAGCAAATATTTTATCCATAAATTACTTATTCATAAATTCAAAAATTCTGTTGTATTTTTACAGTTATTCCAGACCTACATGCCTTAAATCACACTCTAATTCAGCTTCTCTACTGTGAAGGGGACTACTAAGCAAGTTCTACATACCCAGGCTTTCTTTGCCTTAGTTGGCTCGACAAAACCTAAAACCCTGATAAAAGATAATGGATATGATGACGGTGGTTATCAACTTTCTTTGTTAATCCAGGCTTTCTTTGCAGGCTCTGTGTATGTTTCCATAAGGGGGGGGCATTTGGTGCATCATTTAACCCTTCTTCTTTTTAGTGTAAGGTGTGCGGCATAAGTTAGGATATAGCTCTAGACAGGTTAAAAGAAAGCCACATTCATTACATTAAAAACTCAACACCCCAGGCTAACCCATTAATCTTGCTTCGTAGTACAACCCTCTGGTCTTTTAATTTTGTTTTATTGTTATTTATAACATCTTGTATTCTCTCTCTCTCCCTCTATCTCCAGACGAGTATAAGAGTAAGGTGGTCTGTGAGGAGGAGAGGATGAGGCTGAGCTGCAAACGGGGTATGCAGATCGCTGTTTACTCCGCCATGTTTGGCCGAACTCAACAGGGCACCTTGGAGTGTCCCCTGCACCACAGGAGGGCCCCGTCAGTAGGTGAGGCTACTTTGCATTGTCACGCTGCAGGTAGAAGGATAGTTGAGCGGCTGAGGAAGCTGCATTTCTACCAAAGATAGAAGATGGATGCACAAGCTCTTCTTAAGTTCGGACTTAGCCCGGTTGCACCACACAAACTAGTTCTTATTAGATGTCACTAAATATTTACTCATCTGAACTGTGATGTGTAACTGCTGTGTTGCTAACTCAAGGAGCTAACTGACTAAACATATGACCTATTTAGACTGACGATAGAAAGAGATAATATAAAATATGGTTCGAATAATAGACCTAACCCTCGATCCAAATGGTGTTTAACAATGATGAGAACTGAGAAGATGTTAAATTACTCTACAATAACACAATATACCCTTAAATTACAAAATGTTATGCTGTCAGACTTAATTACTAAATATTGGTTAGGTTAGCATTATCAGACTCTGAAACACATATTTCTCAATGTACATATAAATAAAATAATAAAAAATAAAAGTCAGACCTAAATTTACAAAGGATTGGCATTCAAGTTTAAAATATTGCTTTGGCCTCTAAAACTTGATTTTACAGTCCTGTTAGTTGCTTCAATTCTATGGTGCACAGATGCCTCCTAGAAACAGATTTACACATTAAAGTCTTTACTTCAGTAATGTTTGATGGTTTATTACCATTCGCTTTCTTCATAGTGTCAGCTTGAGGTCAGGAGAGGAAAGAGATTTCTTACATGAAGACACAAGCTGGGTATGCAAATCAAGTGGGCTTGTGTTTGCATGATGTTAAATGAGTCTGCTTGTCTTGCTAATGATCTTCTACATATTTATGACTTGGGAGAGTGGAACTTCAGGACACTCTGGGTTTTGATTTGTTCTTTTTGCCAGGATTTGTCTGAGCAAAACATAGGCACAGGCATCATTATACATCCGTCAGATAGGGAAAATTCATAATTTTTATTGATGGGTTTTACACGTCAGCACTCGAACACCTCTGAACCATAAAGAGAACAACAAACGCTTCCAGGCACATAACTGCTGTTGAAGCTCTTGTTCATGAATTTTCTTTGACTTGGGCGATATTGCCTGGAGATTCTGTTGTGGTTTGAAAGATTTTATAAATCTCTCTTTAGCTTCTTTGCCTCAGAGGCTTTAGAGCAAACACTGTCCTGCCACACCCATCCTTGATGTCAACTTTTCACACTCTTACAACCTGGGATTAGTCATTCATAATTTAACTTTTAGACACATATTAACATGTAGCATTTCTCCATCTTGTTAGGAAAGCATGCTGTGATATATAAAACCACCATTGAAGCTCAGGTAGACACACATTGCCAGAGGAATTGGGGTGGAATGTAGATCAGGTGTCATCCAAAGCACAGAGCTTGGCCCGTAGAAAAGGGACAGTATTGAGTTCCCTCCAAGTATGTATGTGTGTATGTGTGCGTGTGTGAGTGCATTGGGTATCCAGATGTACCCTTGCCCTTGTTTAGGGGAATGTTAATGACTCTAAGCTTGGATCCATGACAAGTATTAGTATAACCATAGCTACCGTGGTGGCCCCAGCCTCTCTGCTGGGCAGCTCATTTATTTCGCTTTAGTCTGCGCTGCCTTTGTTGCGTTAATGTATAGAACCAAATGGGCACTGGGGTCTTGCGCTTGTAAATAAGTAGCTGGAGCAGGTGTAAGTTAACTGGTGTGTGTGCCTGTTTTAAAGTTGTGAAGGAACAATGCACTACGGACGTGCCCTGTATACCTTCTAAATGACAGAGGTGACAGGACAAGATCGAAAGGCTGACACAGGTGTCAGTCAGCAGGTAATCAGAGACACATATATAAAGATTAGTATTCGTGTGAGTGTGTATGCGTGTGTGTTTATTGAATTCTGTGTGAGTATGGAGAGCCTTGATTTGAAGCAACCTCATCCAATTCTCCACATGCAGGTGGACCAGGAATGTGCAACAAGTAGGAGTAGCAGGTGAGACGGGGCTGGCCAGATATCTGGTTTCAGACTTGGGATTAAATACAGTAGCTGAGTTCTCCCAGCATTGATGGAAAATGGACTCTACTGTTACAGTTGTACAAAGGCCAGATTAGGGGCAGAGGAGCAGCGGTTTTTACTGTCAAATCACATGTTAAACTTGTGTGTTTACATCAACTGGATACTCAGACATACACAAACGCCTTGTTGTTCCTGTTCACTCATCATACAGCATGCTTTTACTGTCTCTCCATCACATACACACACACACACACACACGCGCGTATACACACACACACACACACACACACGCGCGTATACAACCTCCCACAAACACCTCCTCAGGCTGTTCCAGACAGTCTAGCGGTGCCCTAGTGGGATTTCCCTTGTCAGCTCTGTCTTTCATGTGGCTCCATGTCACCAGGAGCAGGAAGTGAGGGTGTCTTGAGTGACAGCTAAGACACACACCGTTAATTATTTTTTAACAGCTTTTCCCCTCTTTTGGCCCTCAGTCCGAGGTGGTGCGGTGCCGTGTGTGTGTGTGTGTTTG